CTGGTTGGTCAACACGAGGGGATCTGCCAATTGGCCTGGTCTGGCCCATTTAAAACTTTCATGTAATGTAGAAGGGGATAGAGTTTTTGTAGCACATATATAAAATATGCTAGGGAATGCAGTCTGGGTTGTTCCTGACTTAGGCAAAGGCAAGTCCAGCTGTGGCATTGCTTTTGCCCAGGGACCTGGGTACACTTTATGAGTAATGTGGGAGGATGGGAAGTCTGATGTCTGCCTCAAGCAGATTTGATTTTGGGTGAGAATAGCCAGTGAATTAAGTTGCATGATGCTAATTGCTATATATCATGTATGGATGATGTTAATAGCACTGTATATCACCATTTCTCTAATGGCTATATGCCATATTGAGGGTATTACAGTAAAAATCACCCAGATTAATAAAGAATGAATGTTGATACTAGATATGCACAGTGGTGGTAGAACCAGAACTGGCTTCAGCAAGCAACAGTAGACCACCACACACCATCTTTCATGTCCTGAAAGACTGCTCTGATGGAGCCCAAAGTCATAGACTAAATGAATGCAACAGACATCTTATAGGGGTGCCCCATTGACTAGGGGAATGATATTTGTGTGTACCTGCCGAAAGATAGGAATGGTGATGGTTAACTGAGATGTATTAGAAAGTGTGGGGCTTGGGCATGGCACAAATGATATAGAGAGGGGTATGGATACTGTCTTGGTTTTGGCTGGGATAGAGTTAGTTTTCTTCCTAGTAGCTGGTACAGTGCTGTGTTTTGGTTTTAGTCCAAGAATGATGGATTTCTGTTTATATCACAAGGACTGAAGTACTGTAATGCAAAACAGTGTCCAGAAGTGCTTTTTGGGTTTTGAGTGGTTTTGTGTTTTTTCCTCCTGTCAGTTTAGGATATAATAGAAGTCATGAGAATTTTATGTACTTTAATGTGAATGAAACCAGGGATTAGCTTTTTAGCAGGGCTGTTACGCAGGTGTTGGATCAGGCTTACCATGTCTGTCGAACATGGCAGTTATCACAGCATTGTGTTTCAAGTAAGTTTTAAGAGGTTTAATGTTAAATATAATCAAGGTGTCTTTTTGTGTTTTAGGAAGCCGAATATGGTGGCCATGATCAAATTGATTTATATGATGATGTAATTTCTCCATCTGCAAATAATGGAGATGCCCCAGAAGATCGTGATTACATGGATTCTCTCCCACCATCTGTTGGGGATGATGTAGGTAAAGGAGCTGCACCGAATGTTGTCTATACATATACTGGAAAGAGAATTGCCTTGTACATTGGAAATCTTACTTGGGTAAGTAGCTTATTACTATTTAGGTATAGCCAGGAATTCTTAAATTATTGACATAATTCTTTGTAAATACTTTTTAAATTGTTTTATATGCAATACTGAGAGTACAGCAAAGCAGGTAAGTAAATGGAAAAACACCACAAAACCCCCTAAAACACAGTGAGTCTGACTGGAGCTGTCTTGGTGTCTCAAAAAATCAAGGAAACCTTCAGTAAATATAAACTTTAAAGTTTCCTCTCATGTTTTAAGTGTTATGAAGGGTTATTTGTGCTACTGTCTTCTTAAGGTTTTCAGAAAACTGAATGGAAGAGGAGAACAAGCTTAAAATGTGAAATACCTTATGCCTGCAGATACTTGAAAGCTACTGAACAAACCCAAATTACAGTAAACTCTTGCTGCAGTTGTTTGTTTAAAAAGGAGCTGGAAGGTTCTCTGGGATTTTCTTGAAATTACTTTTCACATTTTTCCAGGCCCACCTTCCACTTCTGTTTGCCAGGCAGTGACTTTTGCAACAAAACTGTTTTCAGGTATTTGCTTTGAGGCTTTTTTCTCTTAGGAGTTGCAGATGTGGGATAACATACTGAACAGCAGTTGCCCTTAAGATGCTTACTTTTGTTAGCATTAAAGTATTTTAAACTCTGCTGCAGTTAAGCAAAGTGCAACAGCTGGTCAGTAGCTGAATTAACAGGAGTTGATATCTGGTTCTTCCAGATCCACACTTGCAAAATTCTGATTCAGGGTTTTTTCCCTTCTGATTAATTTCTTACTGGTGCTAAACTTGAAAAAGAATGGTTTATGGGTGTTCAGGTGTTTAGGGTTTTTTTTATTAATTATTGCAGGATCTTAATTTCAGGAACTAATAGGTAAGTAAAGGAGCCATTGACTTAAGAGTTGTACCATTCTGAACTACATTAATGGAATCTGTAAAATGGACATGAGTTAGCTGAACTCACGAAGTCAAGTGTCATGATTTCTAAAGAAGGTAGGCCAGTGTTCAGTAATTTGTGCCATTATTCATTATTTGGCTTCACAAATGAAGTTAGCCACAAAGTGCATTCATCTACTTTAGTGTTGCTGTTGTGTGCTTTCTTTGCGTTAAGCTCTAAACAAAGTTAATTTGTTGAATTTTTAAAGGAAGCCTTGATTTGAGGGAGATCAGCTAAGTAGTTCAGAATCTTTAGAGCCTATTTTGCACTTCCCATATGAAATTCAAAGAAGTGATGGAGTTGCAGAAGTAGGAAGAAAATCGTGTTAGTGTCTTTGTGTATCTTTGGATGAGGGAAATTGTTGAATGTTACATAGTCATTAATACGAGGTTACAGCAGATAGGTTTGGTTAAGAGGAAGCAGTTGTTTTTAAGCATATTTTTTGTCTAGTTTCTCTTCTTTTGTCTGTAAATCCTGCTGGTTTTCTGCACATAATATGTAGTTCACTAAATTCTCACTAGTCAAAGCTGTCATAGAGAGCACCTGGTTAATATGGTGTTTAAAACTGACATTTGTGTGGAAATAATAGAATTGGAGAGAAAAAATGGATCGGGTGTAGAAAAAGTAAGTTATTGGAATGGTCCAGTTTAAGCCTTATTTTCTCAAAAAAGTTACTCAAATCCAAATCCAGTTTTTTGGGGCATAATGTAACTGGTATAATATGTGGAGGGAATGATGCAATATAGCATATGGGCAAGTGTGTATGTCTTTCAGATTAATTTTCTGAGAATTGTAAAGTACAAATGACTGCTTGCCAAAAGTCAGAAAATTTCAACAACCTGAATAAAGTATTCCTCTTGACCAACTTCACACCCCCAAAAGAATCCATGGAAAACTTAGCTGCCCTTTTCCTGATGTTTTAGATAAGCTTTTATAACTGAATATTAAAAATCTTTTTCAGTGGACAACAGATGAAGACCTGACTGAAGCAGTTCACTCACTGGGGGTAAATGATATTTTGGAGATAAAATTTTTTGAAAATCGTGCTAATGGCCAGTCTAAAGGGTAAGAACTCATTGTCTGTTTTTTCTGCAAATGGCCTGAAGTTTGGGAGGGTAGAAAGGGCAAAAGAGCTTTCAGTTTTCCTAACTGTCAGTATGTGAACTGATAACCTTTAATTGATGTGCAGCGATGAATGGATATGTTGTTTCATACTAATGACTTAAATGTCAGGCGTAAATTTTTATGGTGGCATTGTGTGTCTCATTATTTTGTGAGTTGTGTCTTTTTGGCTGTCTTCATTAAGACTATTCCTAGATATCAGTTAGTGCGGTGGTGGGGTGATACTTCCCCCAACTGCCATTATTCAGTCTTTCTTTACATCTTTATTTTCCATTAACTGTTGAAAGTGACTATTTAAGCTCATTTTTCACCAGGAACCTAGTCTTTGCATGAATGTGCCTTTCTAAGCTCTCCTTAGTAGGAATGAGACAGTAAATGCTTAATAATAACTTGATCATATGAATTCATATATAGTGATACTCTACCAAAAAGCTGCCTTTGTTGTGATGTATTTTGATGCATTTTGTACTTTTGATGGTTCTTATGTCCTAGAATGAGTTCTTTTATCTGTTCTGAAAACTGGACTATGACCTATGGGACAGTTTCTCTATCTCATTTTCAAGTATTCCTTTGCTTGCTTGTAACCTTTTTCATGAGGCGTCAGGATATCCAGGAAATGGGAAGAACTGTGGTGTAACTTTATTTTCCCTCCTCCTGCCTTTCAGGTTTGCCCTTGTGGGTGTGGGATCAGAAGCATCCTCCAAAAAGTTGATGGATTTGTTGCCTAAAAGAGAATTGCATGGGCAGAATCCTGTTGTAACTCCATGTAATAAACAATTTCTGAGTCAGTTTGAAATGCAGTCAAGGAAAAGTAAGCCTTTCTTATGTGCTGTCTTGAAAAAAAAACTGTTTGTTCCAGTAGTAGTATGGCAGTTCGTCTCTCAGCTTATGATAATTTCTACAGTTTGAAATAGCTATAAAGTGCTTACAGTCCAGGTGAATGAGGTTGCATCTTTGCTTAAAGATGATACTCTTAAATAAAAGTGAATTAAAAAAACCCCAAACAACTCAACCCCCACAATCAAACAAAAACCCAAACCAAAACACTTAATACACTGAAGAGCTGCTGATCTGGCAAGAGATAGCAGTCCCTGACAGAAGGTTGCAGCTTTGTGAAGCTCTTATAGTTGGAGAAGCTTCTTCATTTTCTTGTGGATGTAATTAAAAAAAAAAAAAAAGGCACAAAAGCATTTAGAAATTTAACATGTGTAGACAAACTGGACTGAATTCTGCTGTCTGGACAAGCTGTTCTTACAACAGAATGGAGAAAAGGGATTCTGCATTGTGCTTTCCTCCAGCAGCTTGTCTTGTGGTTCCCAGGCCTAATTGTGGCCTTGGGCTATGTTAGAGGAAGTACTGACCGTCTCCTCAGATGCCATTCTGTTAGTATGGGGCATAGTGGATCACTGCCATATTCTAGCAAACCACTTATTCCTCCCCAGATGCTTTGGGTTTGGGTACCAAGGAAGAAGTCAGTGCTCCTAAGGTCATGCTTTATTTAGGTCAAGTGTTGAAAAGCTTTCACCTATTTTGATATATGTAATTACACTTTTGCTTTTCCACTGCAGCCACACAGTCTGGCCAGATGTCTGGAGAAGGTAAAGCTGGTCCCCCAGGAGGAAGCTCACGTGCAGCATTTCCACCTAGTAACAGAGGCCGAGGCCGTTTTCCAGGTGCCATTCCAGGTGGAGACAGATTCCCTGGACCAGCAGGGCCAGGAGGGCCCCCACCACCTTTCCCAGGTAAAATAATTCACATGTAGAGTTTGTTTCATTTGTGTTTTCTTGTATTAGTGCAACATACTCACTTGGGAGATTATAAAGATCAAGATGATTCAGTAGTGTGCTGTAATCAGTGATCACAGCTGGACTGTAGGATTTGACAGTATTTCTTTGTTGATATTCAAACAAGAACTGTATTTCCAAAATTTGATAGCAGTATAATAACATTTTCTGGAAACAGTCTTTATAATCTGTCAGTGTATGTACTTTTAAAGTATGAGAAAAGACAGATCAATCCTGTTGGCAGGTAGATTTGCCTTTAGTGCAGTGTAGTTCAGATTTGTTATATGGGGTGAGAATGCCCGTGTTTCAGAGTGTCAAGTAACCCTTCCTTACTGCATTACAAGTTTGCACACCATCGGAAATTCAGCTTTGATTCATGCCCAGTGACAGGTTAGTTGGCCCTATGAATACAATAAATTTGGAGAGGAGGTGTTCATGTTTAGTCAGGTACCTGATATGGCAGAACAGTCAGGCTTGTGTTACAGCGAAGTTCTTATTTCAGCTTAAGTATTTTTAGTAAATGTCATTCAGTAGTAGATTGTTTACTAATAATTGAAAAGCCACTAATGAGGACCTGAAAGTAGGTTTGGATACTGCATTTACCTTACCTTCCACAATATACCTTTTCCCAAATTTTTAATGTATGTTGTATCTTGTGTCCCATATAAAAGACTAGTTGCAGGCATAAGTAGGATGCAATGTTTTCTCCTTCTTGTAAGATTTTGGGGATGTTGCTAACAATAGCAGGTGATAATGTGATTGTGTCAGTTTTCAAGTTAATGTTATTCTCTTCAGATATTGACAGTCAAGCAACTGTTAAAAATTTTCTAGGCTACTGGACCCGAAGTGGGACTGTGCATGTTTTGTGTGTCAGGGGCAGATTAGTGAGGTTGTTTCTGGTGTTTTGTTGTTTAAGAATGAAAGGAAAAAAGGCCAGAACTTTAATTATTTCGCTATGTCTTTATTTATATTTATTAACTCTATTTTATTTTTCTATTTATTTGTTTTATTTTAGCTGGACAAACTCCCCCACGTCCACCTCTAGGTCCTCCTGGCCCACCAGGCCCACCAGGCCCTCCACCTCCTGGTCAGGTTCTCCCACCTCCATTAGCTGGACCTCCTAATCGTGGTGACCGTCCACCACCACCAGTTCTGTTTCCAGGACAGCCTTTTGGTCAGCCTCCACTTGGGCCACTTCCTCCAGGCCCTCCACCACCAGTTCCAGGCTACGGGCCACCACCAGGTCCGCCACCACCTCAGCAGGGTCCACCTCCACCTCCGGGTCCGTTTCCCCCTCGTCCACCTGGCCCCCTTGGGCCACCCCTGACTCTTGCTCCTCCTCCACATCTCCCTGGGCCACCTCCAGGTGCTCCACCACCTGCACCACATGTGAATCCAGCTTTCTTCCCCCCACCTGCCAATAGTGGCATACCTACTTCAGACAGCCGTGGCCCACCTCCAACAGATCCATATGGCCGACCTCCACCATATGACAGAGGTGACTATGGGCCACCTGGAAGGTGAGTGCTTTTAGTGTAATGTGCTTGGTAGCAGATTTTATTCCTCATGTAGGAAGCACTCGATTTTCCCTTTTAATGCAAATACTAGAAATAATGAAATACAGGGCTGGAAAGGATCCAAACAGTCTTCTCATTTGCCCCTTTTCACTGAAATATCTCTCAAACACATTTGTAGTGGTAAGAAAATCTTGAAATGCAACATAGTAATCGCTTTCACTTTTCAGTTCTGAACTGTTTGTTTTCACTGTTGTATTTGGCAGTGTCATCATTCAATGTGTTCTACATGTAAACTTATATTGCTTCTTATGCAGCAGCTTCTGGCTGTGCTTCTGTCTTAACCTAAATTTCTGACTCGCACCTTTATCATCAGTGCTTTGCAGGCTGTCTTTTTTGAATGCCCTGGAGTTCTCCTTTTTGATTATGTGCATATGTTGAGTGCAGTGCCATACCAAGCTCATACCATTTTCATCTTTCAGCAGCTCTGCTTGCCCCTTTTTTTTTCTTCGGGGTTCAATTAAAAGTTAGTCTTTATCTCAAAATCCGGGTGTGAATTTACGGCAAGGCTTTTATCTTCCTTTCCTGTCAAGACGCTTCTGCTCATTTGGTGCAATCCTGCTGTGTTTGTAACAGTGGCTTTTCCTATGGTTAATCCTGTCTGGGATGGAGTTCTTGATTGTGTCTTGACTTGACTTGTCAAATTTTTCACATCTTGTTTGAAACATCTTTTTTCATCTGTGCTTTTAAGCATCTCTGTCTTGCTGCTGTTTCTTGATTTTCGCCATATTTGTATTTGTCACGGAAAATTTTGGGATAAGTTGTAAGAGACACTTTTTGCAAAGTTACATTTGGGTTTTTGAGGTGTGATTTTACTGCTAGCATGAGAGGCTTCTCTTGCTTAAAATGTTTTCTGCAAAGACACTTTGTTTTGTTTCTTCTTTTATCACAAAGTTTTAAACTCCCCGTGCATCTGTACATACTATGTTCAAACAAACTATAGAAAATCAAGCATTTGGCTTAATTGCCTGATTAAAAAAAGAAATATATGGTGTTGACTGTTTTTTGATGGACAGAAATCAAGGTTGTTTGCAGTTTGTAGAATGTCTGGGGAGGGAAGGAGTGGGAATAGGACAGTATAACTTGCTGTCCAGTATTTTTCATTAATAATGTTAAAACTATAATCCATAACTATTTAAATTGTCATTAATTATATATCATAGGCGTTTCACTGGAAATAACATGTCCATAAGAGAAAAATTACATATTCCATTCTATGGGAGGCACACGAAAAATAATACTCAAAACTCAGGGAGGTATGAATTTTTAGACATTTCCTCTTATGCTAAACTGGCTATAGGATCTTGTTCCACTTCTTGCAATTAAGAGGATAGCATTGCTTATTATTCTGCATTTTCTCTCTACCAGAAGGACTAACACTGTTCTAGAAATACCAAGCAGTGGGCCAGTTTACCAGTCTCAACATTTGTTTCTAACACATGTCTCCAAATTTTCTATGCGATACCCAGACTGGCTAATAGGACACTGCAAAACTTTTGGGAAAACTTTTGTATATGTTAACTTCTGTTACTTTGGAAACCCTATACAGGTAGCTAATGATTAAAGTAAAAAAGTGTAATGAGTGCAAGGATTCTGCTTTATTGCTTCCTCCTTACTGTGACTGGTTTGGAGATCAAATTGGAGCACCTTGAACTTGACCAGAAATAAACCCCAAAAATAAGTTGTAAAATGTTGAAGTATCATTGAGAAAATTGAGTGTTTTAAAGATGATAGACTGTTTGCTTTTCATAAGTTACAGCATTCTGGTCTTAGTTAAGATCTGGGAAACAGGATCATATAGTTCTAATTCCAGTATTGTTATAAAAATGATCTCTAATTTTGCTCAAAGTCGCATTGCCTATGTACATGTATTTCCACATCTGTTCAATTGGGATAATATCTACTTTCATACCTTCAAGGATTTTATGAAAATTATAAATATTTGTAAAGCACAATATTAAGTGCTGCTGAATCTTCACAATAGATGGGATGAACAAGAATAAGTCTGTTCATACAGCAATGTCTTAATTGTTTACCTTTTTTTTTTTAATTTTTTTTTTATTTTATTTTATTTTAATTTTAGCTTTCAGGATGTTATACTGTAACATGGTCCTTAACAAAAACAAAAATCAAAACCAAACCCAGATCCTGCTTTCTTTTCTGTATGTCACTTTGCTTGAAGTTGCAAACTTGGATTGTTAAAGCTGCAATGATACCTTGTCAAGTTTTTTTTTTTTAACCATTAAAATACTAATTTTATTGCTTGCAGAGAAATGGACGCTGCAAGGACACCTCTAAGTGAAGCAGAATTTGAAGAAATCATGAATAGAAATAGGGCAATCTCAAGCAGTGCCATTTCAAGAGCTGTATCAGATGCCAGTGCTGGTTAGTAAAACTTGATTAATGTGTTTGGTACCCAACTGGAAAGAGTTTGTGGTTTCTGTATTAGGAAACTGGCAGCCCTGAAGCCACACTTTCCTAATAGGAAGCTGGATCTAGGTATAAGCTATAGCTGATATTGTACCACAATCCAATTAGTTTCTGAGAATGCCTTCTTGAGTACTGATCTGGACAGTATTCTGATATTTGGTTCTACAGTAAATTATCTGGATGGCTGTTGAAGAGACTCAAAATGGTAACACTATTACAGTTAAAATTCTTTGGCTTAATTTGCATCATCTTCTGATCGTGATCGTCTATCATTTTCAGGGGACTATGGAAGTGCTATAGAGACCTTGGTAACTGCAATTTCCCTAATTAAACAGTCCAAAGTATCTGCGGATGATCGCTGTAAAGTACTTATCAGCTCTCTTCAGGACTGCCTTCATGGAATTGAGTCCAAGTCTTATGGTTCTGGATCCAGGTAAAACTTTCCTCTTCCATCTGCCCTAACTTACAAAAGGGAAGGTGTAGTGCAGGACTAGTTCACAGAGAAGAAATTAAGTCATGTGAGAAGCTTAGTGGTTTGCTGAGTTGTACAAGAAGTGTGTGCAAGAATCAAATAGAGGTTTCCTGAATTTAGCTGCCTTTTCATTTAGCTTAAATTTGACTCTTAATTTTATTCGGTATCCTTTCCTACATGGTACTCCTGCAATTTGTAAACTTCAAAATTGAATTGTCCTTTATCAGTTAGGATGTCCAGTGCGTAATTTCTATTATATTTTGCTATTGAAAATTGAGACTAAGGATATTTGATTCCAGTTTTCATTTTGCCTAAAAGTAATTTTCTCCATACTTGTCACAGTAGGAATACGCTTGAGTTGGGGAAAAAAAGCTGAGCAGAATGTTTTTTTTGCCTGTGGTCCTTTGTCAGTCTAAGAATTGAGAGTAGGTGGATTTCAAATTCATGGAGTCTTCTATCTAGTATAAATAAGAAATAGGTATTTCTTTCAAAACATAAATAATGCCCCTTTCAGTATTAGGACAAACACTGAGGTTCTGTTTCATTAGGATAGTGTAGCAGTAATGTAGTTGGCCTTGAATATTAAAGATGCCAAGACAGCTGGTTTTGGCACATACTTTCAGTACACAGGTTAGCAGCCATGTTGTAGTGATCATTTGAGGTATGGTGCATTCCCCCAGCTGATTTCAGCCATCTCATCCTCCGTTCTGATGATGTACATTTTTAGTGGCTGCATTTTGCTGTCTCTGAGTTCTTAGTCACCTCCTTTTATATCAGCTGTCTTTCATGTTATATACAGAAACATATCTGCATCACAGTGAACAGATGCTTCTCTTGTATCCTTTTTTGATCAAATCTATATTCATAATACGAAATTGGATGCAGGTGGCTTGTGTTATGAAGAAAAATTTAATGAAGTAATTTCTTTTAGAAGACGTGAGCGATCCAGAGAGAGGGACCACAGTAGGTCACGAGAAAAAAGTAGGCGCCACAAATCACGTAGTAGAGATCGTCATGATGACTATTACCGGGAAAGAAGCCGTGAGAGAGAGAGGCATCGTGATCGTGACAGAGATCGTGACAGAGAACGAGACAGAGAGAGAGAATATCGTCATCGTTAAAGAAGGTGAGCATTTGTTTCATGTTCTTCAACTTTCTGACTTAGTAGAAGTAACTACTCTGGGTTTGGGATTGTTTACACCATTAATGTCTACATTTAAATGGTCCCACAGTATGTACTGAATCACTTTCTTCTTGCAGCCTCTGACATGAATGTAGGTAAGTAACAACAGGTAACTGGTCTTGGGAGGGAGGGAGTATTTGTGTGCTTTTCTGCAGTTTGCATGCTGCCTTTTGAATTTTAGGTTGTATTAGTGTTTGCAGTATTTATGAAATGTGATTAAACCAATTCTTAAAAAAGCAGTAAGCCAGACTGGTAAGTCTGCTCTCTTTGTAATCTTAGAAGGTTATATGAAATTTATGGTTCTATTTCTTATTCGTATTTTTAAATACTAAATTTGTATTTTAAAATCTCCTTGTGTAAGGACTGCAGCATTTAGCCCTTCGTATGTCATGTGTTATTTCAGTTTAGGGAACATGTGTACATACAGTTGCTGTCCTTGCACAAGTATGGCAGTGGGCTCTTGGGGGTTTTGTTTGTTGGGCTTTGTTCTGTTTTGGGTTGTGGTTTTTTCTTTCCCAGTGAGTTGTTTTCCCAAATTCAGGAAATACAGCCAGACTTTGCTCTTTATTCTATGCAGTGTGACCTGCCAATATCTTCTATCTTCAAGCTAAATTCAGGTGTTATCTTTAATAAGATTTACACTCAGTTGTTCCCCATCACCCTGATTTTTCATTGTCTCCCCCCTCTGATAGTAATTTTCTGAACGCTAGTAAACAGATGTATGATACAAGGATTGCTTCTTTTCTCGTTGTTCATGAACTAATGTGTTCTTTTATTTCACATATCTGCAGTCTTGCATGCATCAAACCTCTAGATAGCTGCAAAGTTGTGGGCCTATTTCTGCTGAGAGCTTTAAAATACATAGAAATGCCTATCACATATATTGTACCATTTTGGAGATCAGGAGTTCAAGCTACCCATGATCCCTTATATTTGACAATTGGAAAAAGCTATTAGTTAATTATTATTAACTACCTATTAGTTTATCTGCAGTGGTCTTTTCCCTTTTTAAAACTTCACACTACATCTACACTAAAATTGAAGCTTGCAGACTTGCCTGTCTGCCCAACTTCCATTTCTTACATTTACCCTCTGATTTAGTTCTCAGATTCACATATGGCTATTTATTCAGGGAAGCTCATTTACAGAAGTTAGAGGAAAATTTTCCAGAAATTACATAAAATGTAGTATACTCCCAAGTGAAAATATAATTTTGTATTATTTAAATGTTAGGTTTTTAGTTAGGCTTTTGTGTCACTGACTCCTCTGGGAAGGAACAAATTCTGATACTAAATGCTCCACTCTGTTAAGTGGGTGTTGTCTTGGGTTTATATACAAATAGGAGATATGTGAAATGGTAACCAACCTAGAGGAGGGCAGTCAAAGGCTTAAACAGGAAGGTAAAATGTGAAATGGATTGGTAGAAATATTTCTAGAACTGCATAAAATAGAAACTGTGGTTCTTAATTGTAAAATATCAGAACATAAAAATAGAGATTTAACAAAAATAATTATAGTTTCTTTTGTTGAACTGGATTTTTATGATACCTTTTACGATAAACAAGTATTTGTGATATTTGCAAATAGTTGTTGTTAACAGGAAGTAACCATCGAGCTGGGTGATGGATGTATTTCCAGACTGTTTTCACTAGCTTTCACTTTTGTATGTTTAGTGTTGTGCATGTAGATGTGGCGTTTCTGTGCCGAGTACAGATTCCCTACCCTGTCACCCCAAGAAAACATATCAAATAGCATTAGGTTGCATTTTATGATTTCCAAAGCACAATTTTAAAATGAGACTGTGGCTTCAGTCTCAGTTTAGGTGGGACTTGTATATACAATATCCTTCGACTTCGTTGTGTGGCTGGGACTTCTTTTTTTCTTTCAGAGGGGTTGCGTAGGTAAGAGTCCCTTGTGCGAAGAAGAAAATAGGTCCTAGGAAGTTGATTTAAAGGGCAAATTTAGTATTCTGCACATAAATGAAAGCATTTGGTATTTTTTTGAAGTTAAGTTGTAAATATTTTGGTTTGTGCTGTCTTAATGAAGAAGGGCTTTATTGTAGTTTTTGGGTTTATATATTTATACACATATACCCCAAAGAAATACAGTTATCTCCTGGTTTGTACGTTTCATTTTCACTAAGATGTATGTTGCCATACATTTTTTTGTTTTGTTCTTTACATTGATTAATATTCATAATTGGATTTAACAGTCTCAATCATTTAATAAATATCAGCAGTGCTGAAAAGAGCTACTCCCCATATTACTGTGTTTTGCCAGATAACATGAAGTTGCCTCTGTGCCTGCCCCCTATGAATGGCACCTATATTCCTTACTGTGTACCTGTAGTCGTAACTGTGATACTGTACTGGCATTTTTTAAAGTTTAGAAGGATTTTAAAGGTCCATTGTGAACATTTTTGTATACAGTGAAATTCAGTTTGTACTGTATTACATTTATAGAGATGGGTTAAATTGGAATAACGTACTAAATGTGTTTATAATAATAAACTCTATTAAAACTAAAAAGTTTAGATGTACCATAGCAGGTATTTACACTTCTGTTTGTACACTTCATGATTTAAAATCATATTCTTGCAAGATTTTTGTGCCTTCACTTGAGTAAGGCTTCATGTACATTGATAATCCATTCTACAGAATTACTGTATACTGCATGTTTCCTTGAAACATCTTGCCTTTGCTTGTAGAAAGCCTGTAGGTATAAAAGAGAACTGGATGTAACTCAAATGTCTAACCCGTATTATTCAAGAATACTAAGAACCTGGTAGGATGATATTTAGAAAGATTAACAGCAAAATTAATGTGTACAAACAGAATAGTAATGTAACTTCATCAGCATGAGTCCTGACTCCTTTTTTTAGACAGATACTATTTTATTTTTTTGGTTTTTTAGTTTAACTGAAATGCAACGATGTATTTCTAGCTGATGCTTTGTCCCAATCTTAATCTGTCTGAATTTCTATAACTGCTGAATGTTAAATTCTTCATTTTATGTTTTTGTTATTGGGTTGATTATTTCCTATTTAAACTGGATTTAGACTGAATTGCAAAGACAAAACCACAACATTGTAACAGTTGATATGTATGTAGACTGTGTACTCCATATTTCATGGTTTTCCTCTGATTTTTCTGTTCTCAAACCACTGTAAGCAAAATGATTTGAAGACTGAGGCTCATGCTTCTTCAAAAACTGCTCTCAGGTCTCTCTGAAATAGTTTAAGCTTTGGAGTGGTCTTAGAAGTAACGTGGTTGGAATCCTTTTTGTTGTCAGTAGGAGTTGAAATGGTACTGATAGCTTAAGTAATACTCATGTTTTTGCTTGTGTAAGTAGCAACTCTTCTCTAACAGTGTGTTAACAACCACTTAAACATCAAGTATGAAGTTAGCCTTTTTAAGAAACCTTGTAAATTAACAGGAAAAGGCCTATTTTTCTAAGTTAGTTTAATAATAAGCTTCTCCTTAATAACAGAGTTTCCAGTGAATCGTGTGGTAGCATTGTTCAAGACCTGGGTATATGTACCTGTCTAGGATTATTTCAGATTTTCTTAGTATTAGCCTATTACAAATGTTATTTTCCTCGTCTCTTTTTTAAAATGCGTATTTTTGAGGAAGCGCGTATGTGGGGCTGGCACTATGCTAATTCCATCTAGAATTCCTCAGGGAAAGCATTCTTTGTGCAGCTGATTCAGTATCTGAAGTTAACTATGGAGTGAATGGGGCAAGCAGGGCCACTGTGTTATGTGCCACTTAAAAACTATTTTAAGACTACCCTCGTTCTTTACAGAAACATAGTTTGCTGCTTAAGTTTCAGCGACTTCTCTCATTTTCTTCAGGGTGAGATGATTTGAAAAACTAACTGATAATATTATGCTATTTTCAAATGCCCAACTGTAACTTTTATTAATCTTTTCCATTAACATGCTGCTGTAATTTTGTTATCTTCTGCGGTGTCTTTAGATACACATAGATACTTTTGTGTTCCCCACATCCTGTGCTTTGCTTTGGTTTGTGAAACCAGTAGCTTTGACAAATCTGAGCTTTGTGAAAGTTCCCCAAGAAACTTTAAGTCTTCGTAGCATTTGAAATGGAAGTTGTTTGCAAGTGAAAATGTTAGTTTGATGCAGAGTTCTCCAAAGAAGGAAAAAATTCATTTTTTAACTTTTGCTCATTGTGGTTTGAGAACTAAGATTTGGTTTTATCCAAAAAAAAAGGATACATGAGATATATCTTCATTTTTATGTTTTCCTGTGGCAGCCTGAACTACCTTTTTGTGTCTTCCTCATATATTAATGTGAAAGATATTGCTAATAATTCACATCTCTTTAATTTGTAAACTAAAGATTGAGTTTTCTGAGCATACCTTTCTTCATCAATTATTTTTGCCGAATAGATGGGTTGGGATAGTAGGAGAAAGACATACTATGAATGAAATTAGCTTGGGAGCATTCTTTTTCTTCTCATGTAAATTATTTATAAAATCAGGAAGTTGTTCTGGTGTTGATCTTAAACACTAAGATTGAACAAAGATCCCAGGTAAGTACACTAATAATAGGGGAGAAAAAATATACAACTAATGGAACAAGGTGCTAGTGGTGGCAAAATAGTTTGTACATGTATGGTGAACAGAATCACATCTGTATCTCGGCTTACATGCAGAAAGACAAATACAGAGTCAAACTTGAAATTCCTTCTTTCTCACTGTATTATAGCTAAAGCATCACAGTATTTGGAGGTTTGTGATGTTCTGGAATGTAGGTTAAGCTAAAACAAATTTTGGCTTTCAAGTTGATACTACTTCCTGTGGGATTTTTGCTTTGTGTGTTTTTCTTTGTGTATAGAATAAAATAAAATAAAGGAAAATTACATGAAGTAATTCTTAGGACCTGTTAGGATAGTGACAAATGTGTATGATGCCTTTTACTGAAACGTGAATATGTTGGGAGATTGAAATTCAATCTCTGAAAATACCAGAAATTTCACTAACAAAACTCGATGGGTGTATGCACATACAGCTTTTAAATACTGTATATTTTTACACCTCTGAAAGCTGTTTAAAGCTTTTATATGCTTATTTGGATGATTGGGATTAAAGGGAAAAAAAATAGTTGCTACTGCAAGATGCTTCACGTATATAAGAAGTCTATTGGATTTTGTTGTAAGAGTCTGTCTTGGCTAGGGGGGGGAATTGCTTAAGTTTCATCTTGCGTAAATACAAAAATGTTTGATCACTTAAGTTTGGGGTTTTCATTTGTGAAATGTTCTGGCATAAACTCTCAACTTTTAAACCAGAAAATAACAGATACGTCTGAAATTTGGGCTTTATTAGTAGAAATGATGAGAAACTGATTGCTGTATGGTGTTAAATTGTACAAACCTAACTCATGCTTGGGTCTGATAGCTTACATGAGCCTGAGGCAGATGGAAAACAGCATTGCCAAGAAGTACTGACTAGAGATTTAACTTTTCTTTTTAAAGTTGTTTCTTACTTCAATATTCTACTTGCTTGTAGAATACTGAAAAGGGTTGAGCATGAAGGTATAATCCATACAGATTTATTTCTTCCTTTTGGAACCACAAAGGTGTTTCCAGTTTTGCCAAGATATAGTGGCAGAATACTTGGAACCAAAATGTACACCACCTTGGATTTTAGTTGGTCATGTTGTTTAAATGAAGGTTCAGTGTGGTGCTGACCATTTTAGGAGCCCTATAATGAAAAGTATTAGTCCTAAATCCATTTTATGACTCATTCTTTAAAGTTCCTGTAGTTCCATAATTACCCTTGCAAATCTAGCAAATTCTTCCCAGGAACTGAATCTTTCTTATGCTAGCATTATAAATCATATATATGGTGCTTTGGATCTGCTAACTGTTGCCATAGAAGTGATAAAGATCCATAATTCTTGCCACAGGAATTGTATGATGAGAGCAGCAAATTCTGATACACAGTCTCACAGCTGTCATATACTTACTTTCTCCACTAAAAAAACCAGATTCTCACGTCTGTTTGTGCTAACTTAGCTTGCAACTCTGAACACATCTTGTGGAGGCAGTGCTTTGTCACTTTGCTACTAATTAATTTTAAAAGTGCTTAACACCTATGGAAATTTGGTCTCTGGGGGAAGGATCTTCCCTAAAAGTAGTTACTGGGTTGATACATTCGTGACTCAAGAACAAAATCTGTGAATAAAAAGGAAATTCCAGTCACTGCTTTGGATTTGGGTTGTGTGCATACTTGCAGCGTGTAGAGCCTGCCTGGTTATACACTGTTTTTTAAAGTTATAATTATCAGTTACTTTGAGGAGTGGAAGAAGAAATATGTCAATTTTTCTTGCAAAAATTGAGTACTTTGTTTTCCTGACTGCTTTAAAATTATTATACTAGTAGAAGAATATTTGACAGCTGTGTACTGGTGCACGTTCATGAAATTGCTCCTCTAAATGTTCTGGTTCTCAATGTGTTGGTTTTTTGAACAATTTGATATAAATTATTTTGAAATTACTGAATGTTGAGATTGTGAATTATTAATGAAATGAAGATAGGTAATTGTTTTGTAATGGAATTCAACTGAAATCCAGTGTATGGAATTATACCATCCCAAGTATCTTGTGAACTCTTACAGTTATTAACTCTGAACGGTGTGGTTCCTTAATTTGCCAAAATAGATGAGATTAGAAAGTAGGGTTTGGAGTTTTCCATAGGGCAAGTAAGTGAAGAAACCTCTGCAAGTCTATAATGTATTATTTGAAAAGTGGGTTCTTGTGATTAAACTGCAAGCGTGTATTTTTAGATGTGAAGCCCATCCTGCTTGCCACTAGTCTGAACATTTTCAAGTACTGGTATCAGCATCTGTGCACTTTTAAATGTTACTGAGATGTGAGCCATCCACTTCATTATACAACCACTTGCATTACTTAAATGTCAAACCAGCTTAAAACTTCTGTAAGTGGGCAGGTAAAAATGTAAAGCTCTAGTTGTGGCAAAACTATCTTATGTGCTTGTTCGTTTACTCTCGCAGAATGCATACTTTAGGAAATGTTCTATATAAATGTTTCCATCAGTCACAGGAACAGTAGCTATTTCTTCCTTTATCATTTGATACTTCAGCTGTGAAATTTATCTCTTTCAACTTTGTAAAACAATATTAATTTTCTTTTTAACTATTGTATTAGAAAACAGTTTCGTGCACAAACAAGTAGCTACTGCTTCTGGGTATTTTGTGTTAGTTTACATTCTGGTGAAGTAGATGCACGACTTGTGTATGTATAGATAAGCCAACAATTTTCTGTGTATTATGAGGACTAGCAAAATCTACATCACAAATTTTGACACATTACAGCTGAAGGAAGAGGAACAGCGTGCAAGACAAGATACATTCTTCAAGGAAAGATGCTTGTCCAGCAGTTTGCTTCATGTGATTGAACTGAGCCTGTAAGGATTCATGGATAAAATGAACAGGAATAGATCTGAATAAAGCAAATCTGCATACATGGTAACCAGTAGCTCTTTTACTTTTTTTATGTTGCTTAACTGTTTTATTTGAGGGAAACCTGTGTGATTTAAACCTTATAGCTTTTGCAACTTTATTACTGGTTATATACATTTGGCAATTATAATGTGCAAGCAATTGGAAAAAGTCAAGTAAATGCTTGTTTTTATAGTAGTTTGTTCATGTTAAACTGTTCATATGATAATGTCTGTACACAGCACCACTGATTACAGTAGATGTAGTGTTGTAATAAACTGTTTAATGGGGCTGATGTGTAAAGCTGTTCAAGTTATTTGATGTTTACACCTCAGGGAAAGTCTTGTGTTCAGCAATATTTAAAGATAATGTTACAATGAAAACATTGATGCTGTTTTTAAAAACATTGCAATAGTTCTTGCATATGCCTCCACCTAATCTTGCATTCAGTGAGTTAAACATACTAATGTTGCTCTCACACATTCAGTTTTGATATGAAAATAGGTGGTAACATAAAACCTTTAAAGCTATTTTTGCTTTCTAGCAGTGTTTACCTAGCTGGCTTGTGAATTTGCTAATTGACGTATAAAACTGTAAAAACTGCAGCTCTTTGTGACCTGTTGTTTTGAGGAGAGGTGGTCCCAGGTCTGTGATTTTTCTGCCGTACAGCCTTGATCCTGATTGACACTACAGTGAATACAAACTTAAACTGTTCCTGTGAACTTAAACTGTCCATAATAAGGGGTGGAAAGGTTAGGTTTAAAAACCAAAACCAAACCCTGCAGTTGTTTACAGTTTTATAGTAATAGTGCTTGTGTGTGTTCCCTCTCCACCCCCAAGGCTGTAGCAGTGTGTACATAGTTGTATATTAGAAATGTGCCAGAAGAAACAAGATGTTTCCATTTTTCAGACTTTATGGGTTTGGTATTTTCTTGATACTTCAGGGTTTATTCACACATGCATATACAAGAGAAGGTACACTTGTATGTCCTTGTTAAGTGAAGTGACGGGCAATATTTAAATGTCTTAGCAAAAAGTGGTGCTAATGACGTCTGTCAGATGAGGTTTTGTAAATTTACCTAAAAACAAATTACTGGAGCTCACAGTGAAAGTTGACTTTGAATTTAAGAATTGGTTTGAAATTAAATTCTGTGACATGCAAGCAATAGAAAGTTCCTGTAAGTTTCAAAAACTTAGTTTCTGGCAGCCTTGCACAAAGGCTCACTTCTAGTCTGTTTTAAGTCGTTATGCAGCAGATTTATTCTTGGAGTTTTCTCTTATTCAGATAGCTGCACTCGATGTTTTAAGTTAAGTTTCAAGACCTCAGATGGCTTTAAGAGGCAACTCTTAGACAACTCGATTTCTTTTTTTGGGTTTTTTTTTTTTTTACCAATTTTGAAGATTTTTACAGGTGACCTAAGATGTTAACCCTGTTCAGGAAAGCACTTAAATCAGTTTGGTTTTCCCAAGCACTTAAAGTGTGTGCTTACATTCCATAGATTTGAAGGAATGTAAACATATGCTTTAAGTACGTTCTTTGCATACATCAGTGATTTTTCTGCTTTACTGAGTTGGGACCAGTAGCCTGTGCAACTGCAGAAGTTTTGCATAAGTCTAAAATGTTCTGATATTTTTGTCACCTATCACTCGGCCAGGTTTCCTGCAGCCAGGTTGATGCTGTTGGACTTGCATACAGCTTCAGACTCCTCCCCCCAATTTTTCACCCCCCCTAAACTGTGTACCTCAGTTCCTCATGCATGGGATCACTGGTGTTTATTGAACTATTTGCTACTGAGAAGATACTTGACGTGTTTAATCCTGTTTGGAAATGAAAACTGCCTTTTAAAATTTTGTAAAACTGAAAGTTGTATCAGACAAGTCATGACTCATTTCCTGCTTTTTGTGAATAGGTCTTGGTTACAAACCAAGTCACTGTTGTAACTTTTTTTTCTTTACTTAAAAACATTGTTTATTGCTATGTGTAGTAAGTTTAAGGAAGAAATAACCTGCCTGTAGCTGATACATGGGGAATAGCTAATACTGGAGAGGCAGCAGGTAAGTAATGTTCCATTACATAGTTATATTAAATCTTAAAATAAAAAAGTAAATTTACAAGCATTTTATGCAGGAACTGATATTTTACTCCACATTAAAATAGGTTTAAGGAGACTGTTGCTTTTGTTACACAGAGTGTAATTTCTCACTTGCATATAGATTTCCATTGCTGGCAATGGAAGTAGCAGGAAGGGCATAGCAGGGGGGAAATTAACCTAAGTTAAATTTGAGTGATCATTTTGAATTGAGAAATGAGATCCCCATATTAAGCCCCTTATTTCTGCCTGTTATGAATGCTTAGATTTAACTGATAAATGTACTGTGTTGCCATTTAGATAATACTCTCTTGTTACTGTTTCATTTATTAGAATTGTTTTTAATGGAACAAAAAAAGTGTACAGAAAAAAATCCAAAGACCCTGTTACACACCAAAAAGGAATATGCCTAGTGCACATCAGGTATAACTGGATCTGTAGTAGAATTTTTACTGGGTTTTGGTTTACTAAATGTTGCTGGTGATTTCCTGTGCACACTCAGGAAATAGCAGTTTGGCAACTTATGGGCTGGTGATGATGCCATGATGGCTACTGCTGTGCTCTTTGATGTTTGTTCAGTGGTATTTCACCTCTTTTTTTGCTGATGAAAGGACAAAGTAGTCTGTGAGGAAATACTGCATTTCTTTCAAATATTGATTTTTATAAGTAATGTTGAAAATACTATCTTAAGGCTGTGTCCTTTACCTTGAAAGACAAAACCAACAAGTAGTGAGTTAGGGGTGGCAGTGCTTTAGCAACAGAAATTGTTTTTTCTGGAGGTTCTTTTTTTAGAAGCAGAGGGTTGGGGTTTTTTTAAGTAAGATTTCTACTGGACTACATGTTTTGACAGGTCAAAAATATTTCTTCAGAAGAACAACATACCATTTTGGAAACTGTACAGTCTTTTTTCCTCTCATTCCCTTTTTTGCTTTCTGTGCCAATAATTTTAGTTCTGATTTGCATTTTGAAAAACATTTGTCAGAACTTTTGACATTTTATTTACAGTGTGGCTTATAAGCTTGGATAGCTGTTGTTTTTGTTACAAGCAATATGCCTTATTAAATTTAGGCATTAGCTTGAAATTTTTGTTTCATTTTTTTAAGGCTTGAGTGCTTTCTGATTTTGTTCCTTTGAAATTGGTGAGTGAGCCTTAGTTTTTCTAACTGTTGGGTTTTGGTTTTTTTTACCTGATTGTTTAGTTGCCTATCCAAACCCTTGTAAATGTTTTCCTAGTTGTATGTGGCTAATTGCAGATTTAAATGTTGTACATACTTGTCATCTGTGTTTCTAGTAAAAATACATGGCATTCTTTATAGAAATACCTAATTCCTGATTTCCTTTTCTTATCCACTTGCTCTCTCTGTACAGGTTAAACAGACTTTACTCCTATTTTTATTTATAGAATTTTATACATAGACTCTTAACATTATCATTGGTTCTTGTGTAAACTGAGATACAGCCTTAAAATTTCTAACAATGCTCATTAAGATGCTGTTAGTCTTGTAGATTCAAATATAAAACATGCATGTTTAAGACTGGTACTCTTCAGAGATCCAAGACACTAAATTGCTTCTGCATTGAAAATGGAAACCTTTTAAGATCTTATAGAAGGAAAGTGCAGGTCAGTGTGCATATACTTAAAGAAAATTAAATTCTTTGCAAAATAAGTATTTTGATGTAGGAAAGAAGCAACATTGATTTGTTTAGAATTTATATTATTTTGGTAATTGACCGCACAGGTCTTAAACATAATGGTTGCAGTGTGCTCATTAGTCGTGATGGTTATGCAGAAATACTGTCTCTTACAACTACGGTGCCTTGCAATTAATATTGCAGGCAGGCTTGGGGTGGGTGGAGGTGCTGTGGTGTTTTGGGGGTTTTCTTCTGGTTGTTTTTCCTCCCCTCACTCACGTGCCCTACCACAGCCCGCCCAAACTGAGATCTGACATGTACTTTTAGATTCATTTTGGCTTCAGAGGACAAATTACTAAGGAGTATTTTGGAGCATAGAAGTTCCTCAAATTAATGTTCTCATGGGACTTTTTTCCCATATTGGACAAAATATAATAAATCATCTCATTCTATTTGTGTATTATGCACTTGTTAGTTCTTGAATCCTTTCTGTAGCCCCAGTTACTGCGGTGGCTTCTAGATTCTGATATGGCCTATGCTTAAATATTTTAAACCTTTGGAAATACACTAGTTTTAGTGAAGTCTCTTGAAAATATTAAACATTATACCTTTGATCCCAATAAAATGGAGCATTTATGTTGTAAAAATTCCCATCTATTCATACCATGTAATGTGATTTTTTTTTTACATGACTCAGTGCTAACACTTCGGAATATATTCAACTAATAAGACTTTGGCCTCACCCTCTTGTATACTGTATTTTGTAATAGAAAATATTTTAAACTGTGCATATTACTATTACATTATGAAACAGACATTCCTTTGATCTTCAAGTGCAAGAGAAGGAGGAATGTGTGTGCTTTTATAAATACAAGTGATTGCAAATTCAGTTTCCTTACTACTGCAGGCGTCCTTTTTTTAAAATAAAAGCAAATATATATTAA